CCCACTGCTGAGACCAAAACCTCAGGGTGTTTGTGCTTGGCTGGGGTTGTTACGGAGCTGAGGGGGTGTCCTGGATGGTGGGGGGTCTCCATCAGCATGAGGTGCTGGGATGCTGCAGCACAGGACATGCTCTTGGTTTTCTTGCTGAGCTAGATTCCTTGGTGCATCACCCCCTGAGCCCCTGTACATCCTGAACCCCTGTAGCATTGATCCCCAGGGAGTCTGAGCCTCCCGCAGATAGAAGTGGGGTTTCCAATCCCACATCCGTTAATAACCTCGACCGGGAGCCTGTGGTATGTCATGTGCAAGATCTTGCTGGGTAAGAAGTTTATCTAATTTTAGATAAATTGCAGTAAGTATTCCCTATCCCCCGTGTCTGCTGGCGCCTGGAGGAAAGCGGCTCCCGGCGTTTCCTTCCCGGGGCATGTTCCCATAGGAGCGTGCCGAGGAAATTGCCTTTAAATAGCAGCCGGGATCTGGGTGGTGGGAGGCTGGCTTGGCTCCGCGGGTGTGCTGGGGAAGGATGGCATCTTGTCAGCATCTGCTGGAGCAGGGTTCTGCATCCCAGCAAACCCCAGCTCCCTGGGCTTTCTGCCGGGCTGCTGGTGTTATGCATGGGACTTTGCCAAATCACCGGCGTGCCTCAGTTTCCCCACTTGCAGCAGTGGTATTAACTGTTTGTCCTGTGTAATGAGCTTGATCCTTTGATGCTCCAGGAGCTGCTGGAAAAGGCGAGGGGTGAAAAAAATCCTGACTCCAAAAGGTCACTTGCATTAGCTTTCCTGGCTGGTGCCTGCACTGTGTGGCGTGGGCTTGGTGTGCCCCCAAGATGCTGCACCCCAGAGGCAACCATGGGGCTAAGACAATCCTGGCTAAGCCAAGGCGGGAGCAAAATGGGCTTTTTCCCATTGATTGGCTTTGCTTTGTCCTAGACCGGGAGTCCTGGATGTCCACCCCAAATTTCATAGTTCTGGGGAGCCTGTACTTGCTGAAGTTCGAGTATAAACCCTTCTTTTATAAAGCCTTTCCACTTTTTGGCAGTTATTTGTGTAGCATCCCCATCAGATGATGCCATGAAGGATCTGGGTGGTGTTGTTGCCCCCCTGGGGGTACGGGAGTGTTCGATCCCATCAGGGATGGTACTGTGCCGCCCTTCAGCACTGGAGCCTTTTCAAGGCTGCTTCGTTAAAGGAGAGAAGCCTGTGGATCATGTCCCATGGTGCAGGAGGTTAAACAGAAAAGGTTTAAGTGTGTAATTAGCTTTGAAGTGAGAGGAGCGTAGACTAGGCAGATGAAAGAGCCGGGCAGGCTGATGGGCTGGCGGCCACATTCCTTGGTGGCCACGGGGATTTAATTAGGCGTCATCTGTTGTACTTGGTTGTTCGGTCTTTCTTTTCCTTCTTTGTGAATCCTTCGTTCTCCCTCTCTCCAGCTTTTCTCCTCTTCATCCCTGGGAGGGGGATGCTGGGTGGCAGCAGTGCCCAGGCAATGCTGTGCAGCACTGGTACCCGTCTCCCTAGTGAATCTGTTAAGCCATGCCTTCTTTTTATTTCTTTTTAAAAAAATTTGGTCCATCTGGTGTTTAACACCCGTATTAATACTCACCCTTCTGCTTCCCTCCTCCTGTGCATGCCCTGGTGGTACCTGGGAGGGGTGCTGGCTGGCACCAGTACCCAGGGGGGTTGTTGAGCAGCATGGATACTAGTTTCCCTGGCAAAACCCTCCAGCCACCTGTTTTTACTTTCTTTTTAAAAAATTTTGGTCCATCTGCTGTTTAACCCCCATGTTAGCACTTGCCCTTCTGCTTGGGCATGCTGTGGTGCCATGGAGGTAGCAGCGGTACCCAGAGTGAGGATACAGGGTGGCAGCAGTACCCATCTCTCTGGCAAATCTCTCAAGCCACCTCTTTTTCTTCCTTTTTTTCAAAATTTTGGTCCATTTGGTGTTTAATCCCCATGTTAGCGCTCATCCCTGTGGTACCACGGGGGTTTTGTGTGGGATGTTTAACAGGGTACGTGTTGTCCTTGACACGGGGTTGCCTGTCATGTTTGGGGCAGGCTCTGGGTTGGGGGGGGGAGGTGTGTGTTAGGCAACTCTGGGGTGCTCAGGCATGGTCTCAGAAGCATCGTGCCCCTGGGGAGCAGACCGTTATACCCCCAGCAGTATTTTTAGCTGCTCTCATGTTGGAATCGCACCTCCTGCGCTTGCTGCCTTCATCTCACCGCCGGGAGCTGCTGTTATCCTGGCCTCGAGCCAGCACAGGGGCTGGGAACTGAGGGCTCCTTGTTTCCCCCGGTGATTTTTTGTTTTTTTTTTAGGGTGCATCTGGACCTGGAGTGGTCCTCTCCGGTTCCCACAGACCCTGCCCTGCTGCCATTGTCCCTTGGGATGGGTATAACCATCCCCGTTGCTGCAGATGGGTATTTCATGTTGTAGTCTCCTTGCAAACATTTTGATGAAACCTTTGGTTTTGGAAAGCTGCTCTGGGTTTGCCCCCTCTGACCTTCCATGGCTGCTGGGGCACCTACAGCCACCCCCTTTGGAGCTAGGATGTTGACATTTAATTGCTCAGGTCTTAATTTTTATGCCCCTCTTAATCTTGTGATGGGGAGGGAGAAAGGGCTGGAGGTTGAGCTTCTCAGCCCTACCCTTGGATGGGGAGAGATGGTGCCAAAAGCACTCTGTAGCTCATGAAAACCAAGGCTCTGCGAAACCCTTTTTATTTTTTCCTGTGTATACAAATCATAGACAAATTTGCTGGTGAGAAGAAGCAGCTGGTTGAGCCACCTTCATTTTGCACCATGGGTGGGGAGAGCGATGGGAGGGAGGTCTTATGTGGGGAAAAGCCATAACAATAAACCTGTCCGAGGAGGGAGATGGATTGGTTTGGTCACCTGTGCCTCTGACAGCAAAATACCTACTCGGTGTAATTGCATTTTAAGCTTCTGGAGCCTGGGCATCATCTTGCAGGTGGCTGAAGATCTGGCCTTGAGGTGATGGAGCAGTGGGGAAACTGAGGCACAGGACCAGTTGGTACCAGTGGCTGTGCTGGGGGTGGCAGCAGGATGGGGGTGGTGGGGATGCAGCCCAGGAGGAGGAGGAGGTTACACCTCCCCGATGTTGTTAGCGGCTGGGAGTAGTTTACTGGGGGTGACGGAATTGCTTTTCCCTGGGAAATGGGGCTCTGCCAGCCTGAAACACTGTTTGTCTCTGCTCTGGTTTCTCAGATCAAAAAAAAACAAAACCCATCACTGAGAACAAATTTCTCCCTCCCAGAATATCCCATTTCAGCAGATCTTGGAAAGAAACACTTGGGCTTTCTTTTTTTTTTTTTTCTTAAATCGCTTGGCACTTAGTTTCTGACACTGTTTTATTTTGAAATTTTCTTTCCTTCCTGGAAAATTTTGACAGATTTGTGCTTTTTCTCCTATTAGAAAGCGCAGCCAAGTTTCAGACTCTTTAAAATCCGGTGTCTCGTGGCGAGAGCCGAAGGAGCCGAAGACTGGGGTCTGTGGTGCGGGGGCACATCCGCACGTGGGCTGGGCAGACGCTCTGTTTCGGGAAGGATTTTAAGAAAGCTGTGAGGTCTCAGTGCCTCCAGGCATGTGAATAGGAGAGAATTTGCTTTTAGTTTTTAAAAAAAGAAGTTTCTTATGGTTCTGAGAAGAAAAAAAAAAAACCCACAACCTTGGTGATGGAGCTGGAGTGCACCCTTGTGCTTTAAAAAAATGAGTGTAGAGGGGGTAGAAGCCCCAGATTTGTATTTGCACATGAAAAAGTTGGGAATCGTAGTGTTCTGGCCATTTTATGAGCTTTTTTCCTAGTGTTTGAACTCGTGTTTGCACAAGCGACGTGTCTGAGCATCCCCCCAGCATGGGGAAGCACAACCCATGCGGGCAGCAGCGAGGCCATTAGCTGGCAAATCCCTGGGTGGCAGGGGGAATTACTGATGTAATTTGGGGATAAAATGGGAAAAAAAGCAGAAGAAATAATCCCCTGGCCGGGCTCTGCTTTCATGCTGACCCATTAGGGGATATTTGCCTTTGTTCATTCTGCTTGCTCAGGGCTTTCTTAACGTGCCTGCCCTTGTCAGCCCAGGGGCTCGTATTAATTAGCGCTGGCACCCTGGTCCTCGGTAATCTGTGGGTTTAATGGAACAATAGGTCAGTGTTAACGCAGCGGCCCCAGAGCTCCGGGGTTTGGCGGGATGGGGGGTGGTGGGATGCAGGATGGGGAGCTGGATGTGGGGTGGGAGGGGTTGTGGGATGCTGGATGAAGAGGTGAGCTGGTGTTTGTGTGCTGTGTCCGTGTCACCTCAGTACATGTGGGGACAAGTGGCCTCTTGGGGTTTATTCCAGTTCTCTGTGCTCAGCTGAGCACCTTGCAGACTGGTGTGTGGTGCTCACTTTTGCAAAGGATGAAAACCAACCCCTTAACCCCCACCAGATAAATGAAAGTGCTCAGGAGTTCCAGCCTGCAGCTGGGGGTGTGTGGGGGGGTGTCAGTGGTGCATTTGTAGGGGTGTGATGACTGTGGGTTGTTGGAGGTCCTGGCTAAGACCCGCTGCTGGCGTGTCAGGCGCAATACAGACCCCCAAGAGCTCAAGGTCAAACCACATGCAGGCGGGTGGAGGGCTGAGGTCAAAGCAGTAATTTTGCAGGAGCCCCTGGGGTCTTGTGAATCCTTGTGCGACAGCCACAGTCAGGTGCCCGTTTCTTGGGGGAAACCCCTCGTTTGGTGACTGGCCCTTGGGAAGCAAAGCTGGGAGCTCATCCTGCTCCTGTGGCTGAGACCTCCCTGGGAGCTGAGACCTGCCAGCTCATTTCACTGGTGGGGAACCGAATGAGATGGGGAGGTTAGCAGCAAGCAGGGCTATACCCTTGCTCGTGGGTGCAAATGAGGGGATGCCTGGGGTCCCCCCACGTTTCGGGGGGCAGCACCCCATCCTGGCAGGGCTTCTGGAGAGGGACCAGTCGCTCGGCGGGGGCTGATGGGTCTTTCTCTCCGCAGCTGGCTGCACCTTCGAGGAGGACAGTGACCCGAACCAGTGCGAGTACAGCCAGGGCGAGGACGATGACTTCGGGTGGGAGCTCGTCCGCAGTTATATGATGCCACACCTGACGGCTGACCTGCCTCACGGTGAGTCCCGGTCCCCATCGGGGCCACGCTTGTCCCCTGCATCCCCGGAGACCTCTGCCCCCAGCCCACCCCTTGGTCCTGTACCTAAACCTCCTGGTTTAGTTTCTGCAGCGTTTTGGGATTGACTTGCTCTCGGTGTGTGGGCAGGGGGTTGCTTTGCCTAATGGCAAGGTGTGATGAGCTGTCGGTTCTCAGCGCGGTGAGGCAGGGTGCTGTGTGACCCTGGGGAGGATGTGGCTTAGGGACAGGGGACATGGGACCCTGCTGCTGCTGGGGGGAGGTGTTTTTTTTAACAGGGACATCAAATGGCTCTGGGTGCCTCTGAATCCTATGTTGCTGCCTTGGCAGGGTGTAACCCCATGCCACCCTAACCCAGCCTTGGGCAGGGGGCTGGGGAAGCCTGCAAACAGTCCAGGTGTGTATTTTTGGGGGTGGAGAGCGAAGACTTCTAGCTTTGCTCCTTCTGCATGTGACCTCTACGCTTGCTGCCCACAGCCTGGGCACCCCCAGCACTGCCTGGGGGCTGCGTGGGGGATGTCCCCTCCACCACGGCGTCTCCCTGCCTGCAGCAGAAGGATTGCAGCAGCTCGGGCAGCTTTCCAGGCTTCCCGCGGGTCTTGGCAGCATCTCTGGCAATGCCAAATTCCCCATCTGGCATCGAGTGCTGCTGCTGCCAGCTGGGATGCGCACAGATCCCGTCATCAAGGGGCACCTCCAGAGCTTCTCTCCCTGCCCGGGATCTGTAGCCACTGCCTGATCTTTCCTCGCTGGTGTGTCAGCTCGTGCTGCTTTTGCAGGCTCATGAGAAATTCCCATCTCTCAGAGATGTGGAAAAGGGGGGAGGGAAAAAAGCATTTCTGGCTCTTGTGTGGGGAAGGGCTTGTGGCTGTGAGTTGGAGGCATCTCCAATGTCTTGGGAACTGTGGGGAAGAAAATGCAAATGGACTTTTTAAAAATCATATTGCTTTTAAACCTTTATTTTCTGGGTCCAGCTCCTCTCTGATGGGCCAGGCTGAGGGAGCAGAGCCAGCTGGGCAGCTGTGGGGAGCTCCCCCTCTCCCATGAAGATGGTGTGGGCACCGTGTCTGGGTGGCATTTGGGGGGTTTGCTTGCTCCCAGCTCCAGACTGTGACCCCCTCGAATTATCCCTGTACCCATTTGCTCTGGGAGATGCTCTGGGCTCAGGATGCTCCTTGTTTTCAAGGACTGCTGGCTCCTGCCTGGTCCCTGCCCTCCAGCTCCTCCTGCCAAGCCTGGAAATCAGGTCCCACGTTGGAGATGGGCAGAAAGAGAGAAGAGCTGGTTTAGAGCTCAACAATAAAAATGACTTTTTGTTATTAAAACATTAACTGCTTCATAGAAAACTCTTTACTGCTCCTTCAATCTGCCTCCAGCTGTTTATCTTGTGCCTTGTTTGTGCTAGGGCTCAATTTGGCTTTTCCCCTCCACTAACCCGCCTCTTCCTTTACCTTGTTCTCTCTTCCCATTGCCTTTTAATTCCTTTCCTGTCCCTGCTGGCATGTCCTGGGCACCGAGTGAGGCCAGAACAACCCTTAGCTTGCCTGTAGGACTGCTGACATCCCTCTGGATTTTTCAAATAATTGCTTTAAACTGAACTAGCCTAATTTGTGTGTGTCTGTGTGTTCCCAGGGAAGCAAGGAGGGAAGTAGAGCTGGGGATTGAGGTGGCTCATCATGGAGGGTCTTAAACCTGTAATTAGTTGGGTTTTCTACTCTGTTTTCAGCTGCAATTTAAAATTGGCAGCAAACTGCCTGAGTTTAAAGCCTGGAGGCTTGCAGGGGGCTGAGGGGGTCCAGTGGAATGGGGCTGCTCTCTCTGCTAGAGGAAATAACTATGGATTAGCAAGAGATGGGGGCTTAAATGCCAAGAGTTTAAGAAATAAACACCAGAGTTGATGTGGAAGTGGATGCAGCCATCCCAGGTGGATGCAGTGGGGCTGAGCTGTAAGCATGGAGCATGGCAGGACCTGTCCTGATGCTGATCCACAGTGACACCCAGAGGGATGCTCATCCCCATAACCAGGGGCTCCCCTCATACCGGGTAGATACTGTTTATTCATGGTCTTGGGGCACCCAGTGGGTGCAGGGACCCTACTTTTGTGTAGCTTTACCCCCAGTATGTGTGGGGAGCAGTGCACAAGGCTCCTGCAGCCTTATCACCCCTCTTGGTCTCTGCCAGCAGCTTGGTGGATGAGTATTTCACAGCACCGGCGCCTCTCCAGGGAGCACTTTCCAAAGGAGTCTCGTGGTCTTAGATTAAAATGAGTTTTTATTGGAGATCAGCCAGTTTCAAGGAGCGTAGGATTTATTGGAGCGGATGCTGGCTGCTGGCCACCCGCCTCTACCTTTCCATTCCTCTTTCTTTTTGCTTTCTTGTTTGGTTTGGGTTTTTTTCCCCCCTCTCTTCCCTTCTTGATTTGTCTCTTTCACCTAAGGAGATGGATGGGTGTCTCCCATGTTGCAATCATGACTTTTTTTTTTTCCAACTCTTGTTTTTTCTAACAGGAGCCAGGTAAGGCAGGCATGAGGCTGCACCATCACCGTGTCTGCACCAAAATAACTCCCTGGATGCTCTGGGTGCGCTTTCCTGCTCTCCCCTGAGCATCCCCTCTGTGTGCCAGGCTGATCTGTACTTGCTGATGTGTGGGGCTCTAATATTTAGTCTTGCAGGAGACCTGCTCTGTGAGGCTGGGGAGAGGAGGGGCAGCATGTGCCTCACTCTGCAGCACCTGGCTTGGGGCACCCACGGGGCTTGCAGCATCCCAAAGCCCTGTGAGGAGCAGGGGACCAGGCGATAGAGTGGGCCAGTAGTCAGGGATGAGGCAGGGGAGTGGAATCAGACTGTTTTGGGTTTTTTTGAGCTGGGGTGAAACACAAATTGGGATCACTTAACATCAGAATAAACCAGGGTGTTTAGGTTAAGCTCTGCATGAATTTGGATGGGGCAGGTCCAGGCAGAGCTGAGGTTGGGTCCTGGTCCTCACCCCTGCAGAGATGTTAGGGAACAAGGATGCCCTGTGGAGCTCCAGGGTCTCCCTGGGAGAGGTGCAGGCACCTCTTTTTTTTGCTGCTTGAATTTGCATGTGGGAATTCAAAGATGAGTTAGGCTGGGAGAAACTGGCCAAAACTCCCTGTGGAGGCTGCATGTGCTCCTGCCCCTCCGCAGCCCCATCCTGGGGGCCAGAGCACTCAGGTTTCTCCACTCTGCACAGTTGTGCTCAAAAATACTGAAATACCATATCTGTGGGTGTTTTCTCTTGAATGGCTTTTTTTCTAGGTTTTCCTTCCAAACTCAGTGACACTAGAAAACCCTCCATGAATCGGAGTTTCTGTTCCTTGCGTGGTGCTTCCCTCTCCCTGTGCACGGAGCTGCCGTCCTGCTCCCTGCGCAGCCGCATCGCCATGCTCTGTCACAGCCATGCTGGGGGGTGACCCAGCTGCTGTCCCCACCCTGAGGAGCTCCGATGTCCTTCCATCCCCTCCAAGGAGTTGCTGCTTCAGCCAATAGCTCCAGCACTGCTTCCTGACCAGCTCCCTCTGCATAGCCATAAAAACCTTGAAAACTTAAGCTTGATTTTTGGCTCCTGGGGGAATGATGTCTGTCCAAGGACCCCGTGGTGGTGGCAGAGCAGTCCTTGGTGATGGGGCTCCCCTGGGAGATGCCCGGTGCAGAAGTGGGGAGCGGGTACTCTGTTCCTGTGCCAGCTCTGATATGTTGAGAAGATCCAGTGCAGGAGGAGGCACTGTTGGGCTCCATCTTCCAAAGCGATTTCTTGGAGGCAGACGCTGCAGTGCTCAGACCCGGTCCCCTGGCACCTCTTGGCTGGCGGTGCCGCCTGCTGCCTGTCATTCTGCCTGCCTTTTCCTGACTTTTAATAGCTCTTTTAAAAAAAAAAATAAAATCTCTGTGGTTTTGTAGGAGGAAAAACTCGATGAGGCGGGAGAGCGGGTTCTTCCCTCCTCTTTTTGCTGGGTTGTTTTGGGTTGTTCCCGGAGGGGTGCAGGCAGGATCCTTGGGAGAGGCAGCGTGAGGGGGAGAGCTGCTCCTTCCCTGCAGGCGAGCAGGTCTTCAGCCTGAAGCTGGGGAGAGAACCCTTGGGAGCTTATTGCCCTCAGATTCACAGCCACAGTTATCAGAGGTGCTGAGTTATCCTCTCAGACCTGATCTGAATCCCAAAGAGTTGCTGATGATCCCACAAGTTAGGAAAATTTGGCTCGAGACCTTGCATAAGGATGTTCTGGGAGGGGTACAAGGCTTTGTGTGCACAGGCCCTCCAGGCTGGTTTTGCAGCTTAACATCATCGTCAACTTTTGCTTAACAAGTTTGTTTTCCCTAGGGAACATTGCTGGAAACTTGTTTCACTCTTTTCATGTGTTTGAAATATTATTTAGCACTTTTTGAATCTTTTTCTCCACAGAGTGCTTGGGCTTTTATAGAAAAGCCCACCTGAAAACTAAATTAAATGATATTGCTGCAGCTGAGCTGGGGGGTTGGTGTAGAGAGGGGCTCCCTTGTTATTTACTGTGACAAAGCAGGGTGACAGCTTGCCTGGACCAGCATCTCAATTCAAACTGACCTTAAAGTGAGGATCAGAGGAAGGATTTAACAAGCGAAGCACAGTACTGATATGTGCCTGCCTCAATCCCATCCTCTGGTTTGAAGTCTCAACTGGAGGATGCCCTGGGGCTGATTCTACAGCTCCCATTTCGTGGGTGGTTCGGAAATGATTTTCTCTGTCATGATTTTTGGAGCAGATTTTTGCTGTGTAATACCAACATATGGACAGAGGTCAAAAATAACCCCAGCTGTGCTGATGATCTGTGATATTGCATCAGCCCTCTGGCTGCTGGGAGCAGTCCTGCATATCCCCCCCCTCCAGCTCTGGGACACAGCAGAGCTGGGATGCCCCTTCCTCTTCATCCCCATCTTTGACTTTGCTGACAGAAATTAAGCTAAGCTTTAAAAACTGGAATTTGGCAGTTTGCACAGCTCTTGCTGCAGCTCTGCTCTTGCCCTGGCTGGGAAAGGTGCTGGATCCTGGTGGAAGTTGAGTACCCAGTGGGGTGGGGGCTCAGGGGGACTCTGGTAGTGGTGGTGGATTAACAGCTCACAGGATTTAGGGACCCCGAAGTCCTTGCTCCATCTCCCTGGGAGGAGCTGTGCAGCCCCTTGCCCCCTGGATGCCTGGGAGCACCCCAGATGGATTGAGAGACCAGGGAGGTTGGTGACGTGCGGTGCGACTGTGTCCCGTGGGGTGGGTGGTGGCAGTGTGTGTGCAAGCTGTCACCCCCTTGTCACCCTTTTGTCACCAGCTGGCTGTCCCGCTGGCTTCTTGAGCTCCCTGTGGGCCAGTGCTGCTGGTGGGAGCACCCAGGCAGGGCTGTGCTGCCATTTTACTGGGGTGCATTTAAAAAAAAGACCAAAAAGCCTCACTGAAAACCAAAAACATCCCCTGCAAAAAACCCTGTAACCCTCAGCCACCTCTCTGTGAGGAGCAGCCTGCTCTTGTCCAGGCTGGGGGATGCTCTGGTGCAGGATGCAGCACCCCAACACAGGGACAAGTGCCTCTGCTTCTCTTGCATTAAAAAAACCCTAACTCGTACTGTGGTCTTGAAGCTGAAGCTGGGACCAGTCATTTATGGGGGAGGATTATATAATTAGCACAAAAGGGAGCAGTGGGAGCCTGCTTTTTCCGAGGCAGCAACACTTGGAAGAAAATTAAGGGGCGGGGGGGGAAATAGTGCATGGGGGAAACCCTGTCAGATGAGTGATGCACGGGTGGATTGCCACCCATTCATGTCTGTGGTTCCAAATGACCTTAATGGACATTCTCAGTCTTTCAAAGGAACTTGTCAGTGGTTTAATTTTAGTCTTAATCTCTTTATTTTGATCCTCTGGCTGCTTGTTTTTAAAGGGAGGGGAGGAAGAAGGGTCTGTGTTCGTTAATGAGAGCCTGGCAGAGGTGGCTCTAGGGAGATGTCCTCGGGTGTGGGGCAGGTCATGCTGCCGTTGCCTGGACCAAATGGAGCTGATCTTGTTAGTGCAGAAATAATTTTGCTAGGGGAAATAAGAGAAAGAAAAAAACCAAAAAGGAATGAGGCCTTCTCCTCTGTCAGTGAAATGCATCTGTGATTGATTCCAAGAAAACAAATTGTTATAGTTTTATTTCATTCTGAATATCTGCCTGAGGGACCAGGAGGGCCAGGTGGCCACGTGTTATCGGCGACACGGTGGAAATTTTGCTTTTTGATGATCTCTTTCCCCTGTCCTGGCTCCTATCCCTGCAGGATGCACTGGAGGATGTGCTGTGGTACCCAGCACTCTGTCTTCTCAGCTGATGCTGTGATCCCCTGGGTGTTTTGGGGTCACTCCAGGCACAGCCTGCAAATGCTCGGGGCAGTGAATGGATGCCCCCCACGATTCCCCGCTGCCTTCGTTAGGCTTTTCTTCATGCTGCTTGCTGGGAGCTGATGGGTGGGGAAAAAAAGCGTGTGAATTCGTTTAAATTAACCGGCGGTGAAAGCTATTAATAATTAAGCGCATACTGTCAGGAAAACAATGGTAGACTTGAATAAATGGCCTAGCTTTGTTACTTACAGCTTCTGTCCTTATTAAAATGAAAGGGATATTAATAATCCCCTTGCCTTTGGTGATGGGGAGGGTTTACCAAGGCAGCTTCCTGGCCCCGCTGCCGTGTCGTGTGGCTCTGGGAGCTGCCACAAAGAGTCAGGGCTCCTGCGTCCCCCTCCTGCCCGCCTGGGATGGAGCTTGTGGGGCAGGGAAGGGTGCTGCCTTTGGGATCCCCTTTGGGATTTTTCATCCTGCCTTCCCTGTAAGTACGGCTTCGGGGTTGCACTGGCACAAGCGCCGGGACTCCTGATTTTGTTGGTGGTGATTTTGGGTGATGGGCGGTGGGGTACCAGCAGCTGCTGATGGTGGGGAGCTGGCTCTGGGGCTGACATCCCGAGAGCCATGGTGCTGCTGCTGCTCGTTAAGCCGACGAGCGCTTTTTTTTCCCCCCCCCGCAAATGCCTGCTGAGCACAGTTTAAACTCGGCGACAACTGCGTGGTAAATGATACGAGGCGATGGGAATGGAAATTAAACGGCTGGGGCCCGGCTGGGGAGGGGAGTATTGACACAGCCGAAGCTGTGAGCATTAAAGGAAAGCAGGCAGAGTCTCTGGTGGCATTGAAGCCATTACCGGCCCTGGCATCCTGGGGGGGACCAGCTTATCCTGGAGACAGTGGGTCTGATCCTTCCCTCCTTGCCCAGCAGTCAGGTCCCATTTTGGTGTCCTGCTGCTGCCTAAACAGACATCCAACACTGACTCCATCCCATGCCCATCGCTCCTGTCCTGCATGTCCCTGTGGGCCGGCAGGGACTGGCACCACTAGGGCTGGGTTATGCGCATCTTTGCAGTCCCACATACTCCGCTTTCTCCACCCCTGCCTGCAAAGCTCAGGAAATTCGGAACAGGGGGATTACTCCTCGCTCTCCCCCATTCTCCCTCCCGCCGCAGGCTCCTACCTGATGGTGAACTCCTCGCAGCACACCCCGGGCCAGAAAGCTCACCTGCTTTTCCAGGCGCTGAGCGAGAATGACACCCACTGCCTCCAGTTCAGCTACTTCATGTACAGCCGGGACGGCCACAGCCCCGGCACCCTCAGCGCCTACGTCCGGGTGACGGGGGGCCCGGTGGGCAGCGCTGTCTGGAACGCCTCCGGCTCCCACGGCCGGCAGTGGCACCAGGCAGAGCTGGCTGTCAGCTTGTTCTGGCCCAGCGAGTACCAGGTGAGTCCCAGCAGACCCCCTCCTGCCCTTTGCATGGTGTGGACCCCCTGTTGTGTCCCCCAAACCCCCCAGCAATAGGTGACCCCTCTGTTTGGTGCCGCAGGTCCTCTTCGAGGCAGTGGTCTCCAGCGAGCGCAGGGGTTATCTTGGCTTGGATGACATTTTGCTCTTGAACTATCCGTGCTGTGAGTGTCAGGGGATGGGACACGAGGGTGGGTGGCAGTGTGGGGGGGTGGGTGCAGCAGGGTTTGGAGCTGTTGGGATGGTCCTGGTGACAGCTGATGGACTAGTTCCAGGGTGCAGCCCAGTGGCATCTGGGTGCCCTGTTGTCACCTGGGCTGGTGGAGCTCCAGCTCCTGGGTACCCCTGGGGCTCCTTTTTCCATCCCCATCACCACCAGCTCCAACATTGCTTCAGTTTCTATAAAACCTTGGAGAAGCACAGACCGAACATATGGCCTGAGTGTCACTATCAAGAAGGGCCACCTGGTCTGGTGGGGACCTGAATTCCCAGGCTGTCCCAACACATTGGCTGTTGGAGTTCACCCCTTATTTCTTCCAGGCTGGGACAGGAGATCTGCCCTCCTCTGTCAAGCCCCGTAACCTGTATCTGGCACCAGCACTGGGGGATGCTGGAGGGGGAAGGCTGCATCCGCCCCCCCCGGACATTGGCTGGTGTGCTGGGACAAATCCCTGGGCTAGGGATCCTGGCTGAGCCTTGAGGATGGGAACTGAGCCCATCTGGAGCTGGGCTCCAGCATCCCAGGTGGGTTTTGGGGCTGCAGTAGGGATTTTTTTGCAGCAGTACCAATGCTTGTGTCCTTCGGCAGCAAAAGCACCTCATTTCTCCCGCCTGGGTGACGTGGAGGTCAACGCGGGGCAGAACGCCACCTTCCAGTGCGTGGCTGCTGGCAAGGCCGCCGAGGCCGAGAGGTTCCTCATGCAGGTGAGCAACGGCGGTGGTGAAACCATCAACCCCCAGCACTGCCTCTGCAATGCCTCCCCTTTGGGAGAAAACCCTGATGGGCTCAGGGGGAGAAGGGCAGTCCTCCCCGCCCTGTTCAGCAGACATCATTTGGGGACACGTTTGGTGGCTCTGGATGTCACCCTGTGCCTCCTGGTGACATCTCATCTCTCCCTGTGGGGCAGAGGCAGAGCGGCGAGGTGGTCCCCGCTGCCTCGGTGAAGCACATCAGCCACCGGCGCTTCCTGGCCACCTTCCAGCTGGACGAGGTGTCCAAGGAGGAGCAGGATCTCTACCGCTGCGTCACCCAGTCCGGCCGCGGCTCGGGCGTCTCCAATTTTGCCGAGCTCATCGTGAAAGGTGGGTGACTTGCTGTTGCTTGCCAGGTTTCTGGGTCATGGACAGGCTATTTCTGCTGCACTGTTTGAAGATGGGGATGCTTGGGGCAGTGGGATCACAGTTCTCACTGCGAATGAGTTGCTACACACAGACAGTTCAGTATAAAACCAGGAAACTACCTTTCCCGGTGGCCTTAGATCATTTATTTTTGATTGCAGTAGGTTGGAATTAATTATGGTGATACTGCAGCACCATGCTGGGCAGTGTATCTTATAAAGATAATTAAGGTTTGATCAGATTAAACCCTATTGCAGCTGTTAAAACCTTACTAAAAGTGATGGAGGGCATATGCACAGGCTGAATTTTAAAGACTGGATGGTGCTCTCCCATGCTTTGGTGTTGACCTGAGTTTGTCCTGTGCCCTGCAGCACAAAGGTGGTGGGTTTGTGTGGGGAGAGGTGTTGTGAATGTCTTGACTGTAGCTAGTAAAAATTAAAATAAAATTGTGGTACCTGTGGCTGTGCCAGTGTTGGCCTGGCTGGGGATGCTGTGAAGCTGCTTCTGGAGGGGGATGCTCCACCTGCCCCTTCCTCACTCCCTTTCAGAGCCCCCCACGCCCATCGCACCCCCCCAGCTGCTCCGGGCCGGTTCCACCTACCTCATCATCCAGCTCAACACCAACTCCATCATCGGCGACGGCCCCATCGTGCGCAAGGAGATCGAGTACCGCATGACCTCGGGGCCCTGGTCGGAGGTTCACGCCGTCAACATGCAGACCTACAAGCTCTGGCACTTGGATCCGGACACAGAGTACGAGATCAGCGTCCTGCTCACCCGGCCCGGCGAGGGAGGCACTGGCAAACCAGGGCCCCCCCTCATCAGCCGCACCAAGTGTGCAGGTGGGTCCCACAGTGTGCCCTGGGCAGGGTCCCCTGACACCCCAGGTGGCCCTGGGCAGGGAGTGCTGCTGGGGCTGGATGGGTGCTGAGGGCATTTGCAGGTGCAGTCCAGGAGCCTGAAGCATCACTACTCTGATGGATTCACCTTTAATTGACTTTTTAGCAGGTGTACACAGGATCTCAGGACGGAATGCTGATTAACCCCCATCGTGATCATGGCTGAGGGTAGCAGGGTGTAGGGGCGAGGCCAGATCCTGAACCAGCCTTATCAGCTGGCACAGAGGGGCTTGATATCCATCCAGCCTGAAAATACTCTGATGGACGGTGGGTTTTTGCTGTCAGCAGCAGCTGGGCACAAGCTCAGTGCAGGAAAGCGCAGATAGAGGATGCACAGGGTTAGCAGCTGCCTCGTGGCTGGTTTCCATCCCTGGAGCTGGGCAAAAGCCGGCAGGAGACGGCTGCGCCTCATCTGCTGGGACTGCAGGCTCAGGGCCAGACCCAGCTCAGGGCATCCCTAAATCTCAGGCCTAGTGTCCCTGAGGATGAGCCCCCTTGGCTGTCCCTGGCAAAGTTCCCATCTCGTTCCCTCCTCAGAGGGAGCTGTAGATTATTCTCCAGTGCCTGGTTTTGAGCAGTTGGTGCCTTTAAAAATATTTATTCTAAAACTGTTAATCCTCTGCCACACCGAGGGGGTGATGGCTTTGGCTGGGGGGTCGGGCTGCTTTCTTGTGCATGGTGATGATCTCGGGGTAATTCACAGTAACCCCATCCCTGCCAGAGGCCCCTCGGGGTGTCCCCAGGGAAGGGGAGAGCTGGAGTTTCTCTCTGCCAAAATATGCCAACAGAGCCCACGGTGCAACTCTGCTGCTGGTCTCGGTGTGGGGGGAGGAATTCTGCAGCACCGTGGGGCTGCAGGGGAGCCTGGCCTGTTTCCCTCAGGGGAGTCTGACCTCGCATCCCTATGGGGGGGTGACCCAGGTTGGGGGACAGCCCCGGCTGTGGGGGCCTGGGACTTGGGGTGCTGGCAGCGTTTCAGACACTCCATGGCAACCGCCTTCCTGCTGCCGCCGATAACTGCCGGTAATTGAGCAAAGTGAAGGCAGCGAGACGGCACAGGATCGTCAAGTCGTGTTCACCCCGAGACGTGGCACCACGATGCTGGGCTGGGACCCTGCACAAAAAAACCCCAAACAAAAAACAACACCTACCCCAACAAAAGTGAAGGTCTGAGTGGGGAGCATCACCTCACAGACAGGGATCTCTGGGGTCATCCTCCTGACACAGGGCAGGAGTGGAGCAGGACTTGGGGTGTCCCCCGTGGCTGTGGGACCCCCGCAAGCAGGGTCAGCTTCAGAGATGGGTGTGCTCAGGCACGGGATGACCCTGATACCACAGCGAGGGGCTGGCAGTTGCTTTTCATCCCAGATTAATTTTCAGAGGTGCTGTGAGAAAGCCCAGGTTTTGTATTACCTCGAAGATGCCGACAGCTGCTGTTTGACACTCAGCGCCCTGGATTTAATATCCTGTGGTTACCCCGTTCAGGCTTCCCCAGCTCTTCCCATGTGCTGTAACGATGTATTTTTCTCCCTGCTTTCCCCTGGGTCACGGTGGGTTTGCAGGTGATGACACAGCTGCCTTTTCTCCACCTGAAAGGCACCTCAGCACCTGGTCTGCCCAGCGCCACGTCTCCAGTGTTTTGCAGGATCCAACCTGTGAAGGGACCCTGGGAAAAGCTGCTGTGTAGACGCATCCTGCAGCCCCTGGCTCAAGGGGAGATTCCCCATGTGGCTACGTGCCACTGGCCATCACTGGACCTGGCTGCTGTACATCCCCCCAGGGCATCTAAATACACTAAAATAAAAAGGAGAGGGAAGGTTGGAGCCTGGCAGTCCTGCCTGGGGAGGTGTTGGGGGGCTCTGGAGGCTACAGGGAGAGATCCCTGTGCCCTTGGCCACCTGATGGCAGTGATGGTGGTGGGGATCACGGCTGAGGTTTGGCAGGTTTTAGCAGCTGGACGCAGCAGCAGGGTTGAGCTGGCGTCCCTGCAGCGTGGGGCCCTGTGCCTGCGGCCGTGCTCGCCCCCTCCGGAACCAGATGGGGTTTTACACAGTCCCAGGAGGGAGCATCTGCTCAGGTTGTGGAAGCCTCTTGCAACCCTGAGTTGGCCTGGCTACTCTGTGGTGCAAATCCCAAGGGAATTGCCTGGGGGATCAGCTCTGGGACGGAGGACAAAGACCCTCTTTCCCCCTTGGTGTCCTTCCCACCACCCTTGGCTTTGGAAGGGAGTTTACTGCCATTAACCCAAACGACCCGTGCACGGGTGCTGCTGACAGAGTTGCTCGGCTCCTTGTTAAATCTGACTTCTCCTGTTCATGCCAATTAGAGCTAATTAAACTCCTTCCTGCCGGTGGCACTTGGTCTCTGTCCTTTCAAGTGCCTGATGTGGGCTCAGTGAAAGTGTGAGGGTGGCCATCGTGCAGACACATTTATTTGGTTATTTGGGGCCTCTCGTGGCGCGGATGCTCCTGGTACCCACAGCGGCTCTGTGCTGGCCGGGGGAGCGGGGCTGGTACCGGCTTCACCTCTGTAGGGGAGGATGAGCCGAGGGGAGCTGCTGTCCCTGTGGTGTTGGTGGCTTTGAGACCCAGTGATGTCCCCAGCCCTGTCTGCAGGGCAGCAGCATCCTGTGCTGGGCTGGTCCCAGTTTTGGGGTCGGGGTTTTGGGGTTGCCCATCTTGTTCCTATGCTGTAAAAAGGGCTTTTCTTGGGATACACATAAACCTGTGAGATGTTTTCACAGAATCTTTCAGGTTGGAAAAGACCCTCAGGATCATCGAGTCCAACCGTCAGCCCAACTCTACAAAGTTCTCCCCTACCCCACATCCCCCACCATCTCACCCAAATGACCCTTAAACACCCCCAGGGATGGGGACTCCCCCCTCCTGGGCAGCCTGTTCCACTCTCTGACCACTCTTGCTGGGAAACATTTTTTCCTAATGTCCAGTCTTACCCTCCCCTGTTGCAGTTTGAAGCCGTTTCCCCTTGTTTTATTGCTAATTACCTAATTTCTGTCATTACTTGTCTCTTCCCATCCCTCTTCTCCCACAGAGCCCATGCGGGCCCCCAAAGGCCTGGCTTTCTCTGAAATCCAGTCCAGGCAGCTGACACTGCAGTGGGAGCCGCTGGGCTACAACCTGACCCGCTGTCACACCTACACTGTCTCGCTCTGCTACCGCTATTTTGTGGGTATTGGCCACAACCAAACCTTCCGGGAGTGTGTGAAGATGGAGCATAACGCCAACCGCTACACCATCAAAAACCTGCTGCCCTACAAGAACATCCACGTCAAGCTCATCCTCTCCAACCCCGAGGGTCGCAAGGAGGGCAAGGAGGTGATATTCCAGACGGATGAAGATGGTGAGTCTGCTCGGGGAGGTGCATCATCCCCAAAAATAGGACTCTGTGGCTGGTGAGCTGGTGGGGTGTCTCTTGTGGCACAGTGCACATCCGTGGCTCTCAGCCAGGGGCACGATGGGAATATCCCCTGCAGGGATCGTGCTAACTGCGGGGTGAAGAGGCTGTTGCAGGCTGAGGGAAGGCGAGGGAAAGGGGCGATGATTCTGGCTGGGGAAGGGGAGTGCTGGGGGCAGCTTGCGGGGATGAGGGGACTGGATGGGGATGCCGCTGCTCATCCTTTGAGCATTTCAGCTGTGCCCGGTCTGGTGGAGGGCGTGAGAGATGGATCCTCCCAGCACTAGTTGTCCTTAGTGTGGAAGTAAAGCCTAGCAGCAATAACTATAACAATTAAAGCTTTGCACATAGGTAACATCTTTTATCTGCTTGGTTGCTGATTAATTCGGCATTGCTACATTTCTGGGTGAGCGCTGTTAACCAGAGCCTGGTGCAGCTTTGCTCAGCTTCCCAGTGCTCTCCCCCAGTTAAGTTTGCTCTTGAGTTGGTTTGAGTTGTGCAAATGAGCTCTGCGGATGAGGGCATGTTGATAAGGTGTGTCTGGCCCTGATTATTTGCCAGCAACATCGCTCCTGGACAGCTGAGTTAAGTTTCTCTTCTCCCTGTCCTGGCTGTGCCCCGGGGTTGGGTCCCCGCTGCTGGCACCTGAGTGGGGCTGATGTCTTCACTGGAGGCTCCAGTGCTGCTCCAGGACTCCTGGGTTTGGCATCTCTTGCTCCTGCCCAGCCCTTCCCTGAGGATGTCCTGAAGCTGGGGCTACTGGGGAGGTCTCCCAGGTCTGACTTTACCCTGCACCGTGGTTCCCAGCTGTGACTCTCCATCACCAGAGGAGTTCTCAGGTCGTTTTGGGCTCCAGAGATCCAGCAAATGTGACCGGAGGTACAAGGCAGAGCTGGCTCCGTGTCTCTGATGCCACCCATCAGTGATGGGCCACATCCAGGGCTGGCAGCTCCTGCTAACGACTCCTCCTGCTTCTCACATATTCTTTGCTGCCCCATCAGCATCTCCTCTGCCTGCCGAGATGACTCGGCTGCTTTCAAAGGCAGCTGAAAGCTGCTGCTCTGATGCTGCTCCTGCAGCTGGTGGTGTGAGGGGGGCTCATCCTGGTCCATGGAGGGCAGCAGCAGTTGGGGCTTGTGTGGGGTGCAAGGAGCCGCTGCACCCCGGGCTGGGTGCTGAGTGCTGAGCGTGACTGGAGCATCCCTGGCTTTTGCAGAGTCACCAGTGCTTACTGTTAACCAGAAACGTAATTAATCTCCGAAGCACTTTTTAGCATCGATAATCAGCAGTTAAGGTGGATGAATTGATAATTGCAAGGGATCCAGCTGGCTCCAGACCCCCTGGACGGCCCCTGAGAAGTCTGCCATGAAATTCCCCTGCGTGGGACTCGCCTTGATTTGGGACCCACTGAAACGTGCAGCTTTGTGCGTGCGTTGCTCATTGCTCCCGTTTCCCAGGCTGGAAAACAAACGTCTGCAAAACTGGAGCAGAGACGAGAGGGTCTCTGGGTCCCCTTTTTATCTCTAAAGCCTAAATTCGGCACCTTTCACTGTCCCCAACCCTCAGCCTGCCCGGCCGGGGGCACCCAGCTTCATGCTCCTGATGGTTTATTTTCCGGCTATAATTGCTTCAGCTGTTCTCACTGTGCTGTGACTGCGCCAGCTGTTTTCTTATTGAATATTAATACAGGAGCTCCAGATGTCTTTTTGCTATACTGTAATCACTCCAGCTGCTTTCCCCTATGTCTTGATTAACTGGGGCTTGTGGCTTCCCCCTTGGATTGAACTTGGGGCCGCATATCTGTCTGGGCTCAGGTGAGATCCACTGATGGATGTCACCTATGGATATATTGCAGGTACTACACACGGGCTTGGCCCGGCATCTCCCTGCCTGCCCAGGAGGGCAGCGAGGATTTGAGCTCCTAGAACTGGGTGATGAGCAGCCGCCTGTGCAATTAAGCCGAGGTGGCGAAGGCTTGTTGATAATAGGACCCTTGACTGGGGTTTGTTTCAGCAGGAGGCCGGCTTTGGTTGCAGCATCCACTGGTGCAGCACTGGGGCTTGTGTCAGGGTAGGGGGGGGCCTGGTGTGGGCTGCGCAGATGCACACCCCCATCTCAAGTGGTAAACCCTAGTTTTGGGCTGGAAAACCCATTTCTGAGGCATTCAGAACGGCCAAACCAAGATGTTTTCAGCATCCCCTTTAGAGCCAAGGCATGGTCCTGCTGGCTCCTGGGTGCGGGCAGGACACCGAGAGAAAGGGCTGCTGGATCCATAGGTGGCCCAGCTGGTGTTTAAGTGCCCCTATAGATCCAGGGAAGGTCAGTGACCCACGGCTGGAGATTTTGGTCTTATGTCTGCATGAAACAATGAGACTTAATCCCAGACACCTGTGAAAATATCACTGCAGAGTGTTGGTGCTGTGGGGAGGTGTGTGCCAGGAGCCAGCTCTCTCCTTTGCAGTCAGGGTGCATGTGGTGCCAGCCAGAATAAATATATATAAATGCATAAATAAATAGAAATGATGTACGTGGATGACAGAAGAGTGTATGCACACCTGAGAGCTATCGTACACCTCTCCCAGTCTCAACCTGGTGCACACACAAGTGTGTGGTGCCTGTACTTAAATATGTAAATATATAGGCTCTATGTATATATAAAAATATCTATAGAGGTACACACATTCTTGCCCTAAAGGTTTCCGTAATTCTCCGTGAATTTAATAAGTGCCTTGTGTACATGTGTAAGACACGGTGCCTCTGATTAAATTAACTTGTAAATCAAGTGGAAATTGTTTATTTGCATGGCGGGATGCGTGCGGAAGGTGATCCCTCTCTCTCAGCCCCGTAATTAGATCTGAACAAAAAAGAAAAATAGAGGGGAAGAGCTGATGTCCCTCTGTAACAAGAGGGTGCATGTTTTGGGTTCTTAAGCCCGCAGTGGAGGATGCTGCTGGTGAATTGTGGTGTTTGCCAAGCCATCGCCTCTCCTGTCCTCCTTGCTGATCCCCCTGAGTCAATAAATCCATGGTAAAGAAGTGACTATTGATCCCAGTGTTGTCGATTGCTGTTATTATTTGCAGTTATTGTTGGTGGTGTTGGTGTTAATTAGAGGGGAAGGCTGGAGCATCTCAAGCCCATCTGCAGATGAGGCAGTTGTTGCTTGCCGGAGGGAGTGCTGGCAATGTCTTCTGAAGATGCTGGGGCTCTGGGGGGGGGATTTGGTTTCTAGGGGAAAAGGAACTTTTTTTTTTTTCCTTTCCTCACACTGGTGAGCTCGGCACATGGGCGCTTGCTGCTGTGCTGTCGGAAACTGGGTGCGGTGCCAGGAATGGTACCTGTAGGCTCTGTGGTGTGGGAACATCCCCACCATGGTAAAGTGTCACCAGTGGGCCCAGGAGTACAGTGGGAGTATCATGCATTGCCTTGGGGAGCATCTCCCTGGGGAGCCACCAGCCCTGTCTGGTGTCACATGCTGGAGCTGGGTGATGTGGCAGAGGGGACGGGGGGCCTCCATCATGGGGGAGCTGCTGCAGCCACCTGGAGGAGTTTTCCTAGAGGATTTCTCCTTCCAACCCAGTTTTTTGCTGCATCCGAGCACGTGCTTTTTCCTTCCCCAGTGCCTGGTGGCATTGCCTCGGAGTCCCTCACCTTCACCCCGCTGGAGGATATGATCTTTCTCAAGTGGGAGGAACCGGTGGAGCCCAACGGCCTCATCACGCAGTACGAGGTACGGCCTGGCCGGCTGCGGGACCCATGGGGGACCCACGGGGACATGGGGGGATCTGGGGCAACTGCTGCTTTCAGTTGTGGGGATTAAAGGTGGCTGCAGCATTACTGCGGCCCATGGGCCCCTTGTTTGGGGATCACAGAATCATTTCAGGTGAAAAAGCTCCTCCAGCCCAACCATGACCCTCACCCTGACCGTTCCCAACTCCCCCAGATCCCTCAGCGCTGGCTCAGCCCGACTCTTCAACCCCTCCAGGGATCCCGGGGACTCCCCCCCTGCCCTGGGCAGCCCATTCCAACGCCCAACAGCCCCTTCTGCACAGAAATCCTTCCTCAGAGCCAGCCTGACCCTGCCCTGGGCAGCTTGAGGCCATTCCCTCGGGGCCTGGCGCTGG